CCACAACTGTAGCTGCAGAAAACTTAGTAGAACTTAAAATTAAACTTTCATATTGATTACACCACTAAGTGTGATGGTGTGTCTCATTTGCATTTGATCCGCCCACATCATACAACACTCAACACCATGAGTGAGGAGACTGTGGATTAAACACAACTACTTTTTGAATCTGGGGTTCGATCAGGATTGTTTGCTTTTACAGATATATTTCCAGCAGGATTCTATAAAAAAGAATCCCACATCAGCTGTCTAATGAAAAAATGAATTTCATCTGTTCACAAATATTTAATTTTCTCTAAAACCCAACAGTGTCAAAGTGGAAGGATGAGTTTGCTAATAGAGAGCACCTTGTCTAAGGTTGAGAGGCAGAGCCACTCAGCTGCTGAAAGCCCAGGCAGGCGAATAGTCTGAAGCATCATTGAGCTGCAGAGCAGGAGAGAGGGGGGAGGTGGAAAGACATTTTCAACCTTTCATGATGATTCCATCTCAAACTGTTTCACATTTTCACTTAAAGGATCATCTTACCTTCTTGTAATGTTCTTTAGAGCAGGATATGTTTCCATATTCTTTCTTTTCTGAATCTAATACGCCAGTCCTGATAAACCTGTACTACAAAAGAGATGGAGTCGTAATTGATGAGCGACATCCTCAGAACCATGAATAAAGTTCCTGAGAGACTTGAAATAATGTGACCTCATCTGAAACTGCAGAGTTCATATCAGATGTGGTGTGATGGGAATGTTAAGGTCACTTTGGTAGGTAGAAGACTATAAACCAGACCATTCAACGACATGTGTTATGTCAAATTAATAGAAAAGACTGTGAGGTGGGTTTTATTTGGGTACCAGTAAAGAATGCTGCCCATGGGGAAAGAACAGAAATGACTTAACAACATGGATTATCAGATTACATATCATTTATAATCAAGTCAGTCCAACACAGTGGAAATAGTCAAATTTAATTTTGCATGCAGAAGGAAGTTTAGTGGTGATAATGAGGTTGAGGTAACACTCACCCCAAAGAGAAAAAAAAATCAGAGACATGGGAACAACTGGAGAAACAGTTTTTACTCTGCACACTCTGCTAAACCTGCATGATTGGATCGAAATAAAGAAACTGACGGACTACTGACTGATTTACTCTGATGGGTAGAAAAACTAATTAAGGCCAAAACCAATTAACCGTCATCACTGTTTGCTGTTTTGATATAAACTCAAACTGCAGTTGGATAAATTCCAATTAAAATCTAAACCTTATATATTTACAGGCCTCCCATTTGTGTAAGATTTTGATGAAATGAATCGATTGTCAGAAATTGAATGTGTTTGATTTAATTTGTGCTAATTGTTTTCTTCCTTTCTATTTAAATACTTTATATTTGCATCAGGAGTGGGTCCTCTCTACGGAGGCAGCCATGTTTTTTACAGTAGTCCGGACTGGACAAACTAAACCTTTTGAGTTGTTATGACAACTGAAGCTGCCACAGGTTCTTTTTCATGTTGAAAATGAAGACGTTCACATCTCTATCACGTGAACACATTAAGCGCAGGATAAGAAAACCCAGAGTTAAGCTGGATAACAAAAACACATCTAATGTGTTGAGCATGTAGAGCATGTGTGTCGTTTCGCTTCCTCCCATTCAGATTTGTGCTGAAACTAATCATGCACATCACAACAATTTATTTTTGTTGTAATTCACATGTTGTGTCAAAGTAAATGATTCATTTAAAAGAGGAGAAAACAGAAAATAATGCATTTGAGATCTGAATCCAGGAACAAGCCAGAAAACTGACCCCCTCTGGCAAAGAGTGACGTCATGAATCTCTTAATTGTTCTATCCTGACAGGTATGACTCTGGCCTCGGCTGACTCCAGGAACTTCACATAGGAGGCAGCGATGTAAGATGAGTCCTGACCAAACTTTCTTTCCTGTGCCAGCACACCTACAGAGGACAGGAGACACTCAACGCACATACACAAATATCACATGGATCTATGCAGAGAGAAGTTGCATCGACCCCCGTAGAGGAAAGTGATGGTGGATCAAGAAGTTTCTTTACTGAACCGGCATCTGCTGCTGTTTGTGAAACAAACATTGTGACTCAGACTGAAACTTACAGGTTGTGGTCTGACTGACTCAGGTTGGTGGTTGGTGTCATGTGTTGTGTGTAGTTTCTGGTAACAGTGTGTAACCTCAAAGCCTAGAGTAAACCCCCGAAGACATATGTGTCACTTCTCCACGACTTGTCCTGACTCTCATGTTGGTAATCTGCTGCCCAAACAAACAGGTAACACCTGAGGAGGTGACACACTGCGTTGGTGGGATGTGACGATAACGCACTTCCTGCTCGCCTTATAAGGACGAGTCACCTTCTCAGTTAAGAAACCTCGTCTAACCTTTGATCACGAGAAATGGAAGTTAAAGTGTTTTGGTGGCATCTACAGTAAATGTCAAGAACAAGGTTCAGTTCCCAAAGTCACAAAATATTCTCTAATGAGCATTTGGCAAATGTATCTGAATATAACTAATGCAATATTATTCTGTTTTACTTTTCCATGTGCAGTATTACCACTTGTGTGCGATACTACTTTTTACTGATTTAATTCTCATTTCTCGTGTTATTTCTATTAGACACTGGTTCGGCATTACTCTGTATACACTTAATATTTTTATTTCATTTACAATACACTATATGCCTTATTTCCCCTTATCTTCACTCAGGGGTTTTGTTCACTATATCATGTTGAGTTTACTGTGTTATTTATTGCTGCGACTGTAATCTCGAAGCAAACTGGCACAAGAATTTCCTACAGGATGAATCAAGTCTAATTAGTTCTGGTTAAATAATTACTGCTGGTTATATACAGATTCCTTCCACATTTTCACACGAAAGTCTATTATTTGAAGGTTTAGAATTAGGTTATCGTCGACTGTGATGACTAGAGGCGGGACCTTCACATAGCTTTGGATAGTGTCTAAATTATTATTATTACTGTTATTATAAGTGTGCTGTAATTTACAAAATGTGTTGTTCAATTCAATGTTCAGACTGCAACAGTAAATCTTTGCTCTCCACACTGAATTCACATTCATTCACTCTGATTACAGCCTTTACTGCATCAAGGTGCCCCCCCCCGGCCCCCCTTAGCAGTGCCACTGCACTGAGTGACTCTGCCCCTCCGATGTTTTCTGATGCTTTATTGTTTCCTCGAGGGACAAAGATGCACAGAAACCAAGAACATGCCCCGTCTCTTCTTTGGGTTTTTTGTAAACTTCAACTCTTCCGTGGACTCACACATTCAACTTTAAAAGCTGTTTGCTTATTCAGCTTGACTTGCTGTATCATGTCAGCAGCTCCTCCCACATTAATCATGTTGTAAACGGTTCTTATACGCATACACTGCTGGAGAGACAAGTAAAACTACATTCTGTGTGTATTAGTAATTATACCCTTGTGACTTACAAGGTGAGGACACTTTGGTGTGTGTGCGTTAAAGAGAGAGAGAGGGTGTAAAATGAGTATTGGAAGGTGAATGTCTGTTGGAGTGTGTGAGTTAATTTGATGAAGTTAGCGTGGGATTGTTACACTGCACCTCTAGTGACTGAACACGGGGTCACTGATGAATGTGGCAAACAGCAAAGTCTTAAGCATTGTTTTGAAAGAAGACTTGCAGCAGACCTGCAGTTTCCATGTTGAGTTATGTTTATTGTGGGAAAATATAGGATTAACATGACGTGGCAGTAAATTGAAGAACTTAATTGACTGTAAAACTTAAATCTGATTCTAATTTGTTTTCATGATTTCAAAATGTAAATGAATGTGTTTAAGCACAGTATCTTATGGATGTATTAAAAAAAAAAATTCTGAATAAATGATCTCAAGTGGCTCATTGTTGAGGTTTTTGTTTGAGGTTTGAGGCTCTCAGGTAGATGTCAGGTTGAAAATGTTCCTCACGTCCATTAATCAAAGTAATAGTTCTGAATGAAGATGTTGCTCGAGCCCATGAAGCGGGGACAGAAGTTGTAGATGAGCGCTCTCTCTTCCTCCTCCAGACTCGGGAAACGGTGGTTGCTCTTCCTGGCTGTAAGGGGAAAAGGAAAGGAAGTGAACAAAAGACAGAAAAGGTAGAATATAGTGATTTATTTGATTGATAACTGATTTAGCTGCATAAGAAAATGTTCAGTGGATAATCTTCATCATAATCAGTTTCATAAACGAGTCTGGGACTAAATTTGAGAATGTGTGTCTCCTTATCGATCACGTGATGGGACTGAAATGGGCGGAGTTATATTCTCATGTTACAAATGCAGTGAAGAAGAAATTATTCCAGTGATGCCATCGAGATCTGGATATATTGTGGATCCCACACGTTACCTTCAGAGACGAAGAAGTTGGCACAGTAGAAGGCGACTTTTATTGCAGAGCTGGAGTGAATCATCCCCGGCTTATCGATCCACTCAAACTGGGTTTTCTCCGGATGCCACTGAAGTGCATAAAATGGGTACCGGTAGGCTGGAAACGACCAGAGACACTGTCAGCAGACAGACTTGCTCACACACTGAAACATTACAGTCAGTATTTGTAGAGAATAATGGAAATGTGATCGCTGCCCTCGTCAGTTAATCTGTTTCATCATTTCTACATCATCATTAAACATCATAATCAAAATGTTGAAATTATTGTGTTATTGTTGATTCATTGTTCAGCAAACACTCATCACACAAGTTGAGTGTCCCCCAAGGAAAGGTACCTTCCATAGTGGAGATGAATTCTGTCTTCCCATCGTGGTTAGTGGACAGGACCTTGTAAAACTTCTTCAGCCTGGCATTTTCGCTGTAGTTCTGAAATTCACAGATTTAACATCAATATACTTTTCTCCTTTTGCAATTATTAACAATGTTAAAAGACGATTGAACCTAATAACTGATTAGTGGTGAATAAAATAATGTCTATTCAATGTGGAGGGCCTATTGCGACTCTATAACAAGTAAAAAGGTGTGGCATGGTGGCCAAGTGGAAAGGCGTTGGTCTCGTAAACCAAAGATCATGGGTTCAATCCCCATCCATGCCTTTAAACGTGTAATCTGCAATGAAGAGATACATTCTCATGTTGTCTTAAGCAATATTTTACCACAATACCACAACTACATGTACTAGAAAAGTTGAGATTAAACCTTCTATATCTAAGGATAAAGAGGTAGGAAATACCTTGGTGGAAAGACCAAACTTGTGGAAGTGGGGAGCGAGGCTTTCCTCGGCCAGAGACCTCAGCACATCTTCGGGGAAACTCTGAAACAGACGGCTGGAATAGGCCTCTTTAAGACGGACACAGATTTGTGGTGAGGCAGGAGGAGCTGTTACATATTTGACTTTAACATGATTGATGCTGGACATTATGACTGGAGTCAGTGAGTGACAGCCCAGGTTCCTTAAACTTAATGTCATCACTCGTAGAGTTTAAAGAACTTAAAACTCCAGTAGGATTCCTATAAGAGAAATCCCACAGCTGTTTAAAAATGAACTAAAATTCTGCAAGAAAACAAGTGAAAAGTGCTATAAACCAAATCTAAAGCAACAGGCATTAACTTCAGGGAGGACGTGTGAAGTCCCACTTGTTAGAGAAGGGAAGAGAAGAAAACCGTCATGATGTGAGGAGGCTAACAGAGCAGAGGACAGTGGACATTACTTTGTGTCAGGTTGAGAGGCAGAGCCACAGCCTGGGTGTCAGTGGGTGTGAGCAGGTTTTCTTTCGCTGTTAAGAAGGTCAGCTGCTGAAAGCCCAGGCAAGATCCCCAGATGGGGAAATAGTCTGAAGCATCGTTGGCCTGCAGAGGAGGAGAGACGGAGGAGAGAGAAGGTTAAGATGAAGGAGGTGGGATTTCATTTTATGATTTCATGATGATTTGATGCTGGCAGCTCTATCCTTTATTTACAAAGCTATTTTTAACTCACATTTTCACACAAAGGATCCTCCCTCTACAGTTACATTTCACCTTCTTAAAATGTTCTTAAGACCAGAGGCCTGTAATATGAACATACCCAGGATATGTTTTAATTATCTAGCTTCTCTGAACTGTTAATAATGAGCGACATCCTCAGAACCATGAATCAAGTTACGGAAAGACTTGAAATAATGTGATCTCATCTAAAACTGTTAAGGAATGAGGGAGCAGATTCTTCCGCAAAGAACGCTGCCTATGGGGAAAGAACAGAAATGGCATAACAGCATGGATTATCAGATTACATGTCAACTATAAACAAGTCAAACAAATGCACAATAAAAAAGAAGGGAAGGTTTGCAATTCGTGAAACAGTGGAAAAAGCTAAATGCATATTTGCTTGCAGAAGGAAGGATTCAGTGGTGATAACGAGGTTGAGGCTCTGATTGTAACCCTCACCCCAAAGGAGAAAACTGTTCAGAGGCCTTGGAACAACTGGAGAAACAGTGATTCATCTGCACACTGTGCTAAACCTGTCTAATGAGATTAGAATGAAAACAACTTTAATCTAATCGGTATAAGATGTCACTTGATCTTAAATCAACACTGTTCTACAAGTCAAATTGTTTCACCGTCAGAGCCAAGTTGTAAAAAATCCTGGCGGTTCGACTGTACAGTGACGTCTGCGGACACACCTCTCCTCCTGGCAGCACCAACCTGTGAAGACCGAAACACTTCACATGTGTACACATATGATAGAAGAAGATTTCACATCAGACATAACAATTAGGAGCATCTACACTCTTGACATACGCAGAGTAAACAGTAAACAGTGTTTAACTCACCCGTTTATTGAGTTGAATATCTCGGTATATTCTTCTTCTGTGAGATTTACTCTGATGGATAGAAAAACAAATCAAGACCAAAAAAACCAATTAACCATCATCACTGATGATGTTTTGATATAAAGTCAACATTATTCCAACTGCAGTGAAATATTTATGGCATATATTTTTTCAGCCTTCCCATTTGAACAGACTCCGCCCACAGAAACTTGCTCAAAATACTTCTCTGCTCTTCTTTGCCAGACGAAACATTCATTAAACTTTTTTGAATCAGTTTGTTTCTTATCAGAGAAAAATGCTCTGTAAGAACAAGAATAACATTTCCCCAGTAGTCTTTAGCCTTACCCCTCCAAATTAATATTTGGATGAGCTGATTCTTTTCATTCTACTTCTCACTTTGTTGAATGTCAGTTTCAGATGTTGCAATTCCAGACATGTTGCGTGAACCCTCTGGCAAAGAGTCAAGTCATACATCTCTCAATTTTTATACCTGACAGGTACGACTCTGGCCCCTGCTGACTCCAGGAACTTCACATAGGAGGCAGCGATGTAGGATGAGCCCGCAGTAGTCCGTTGTTCTTTACATGCTTCCTGTGCTAACACACCTACAGAGGACATGAGAGGGTTAACATTGTGAATCAGCCTGAGGCGTTAGAAGTGTTGTTGGTGTCGGGTGTTTGTGTTTGTGGTGACAGTTAGTACCTGGGAATAGTGTGTAACATCAAAGCCGAGAGCAAACGCTCAAAGACACATGTGTCGCTCTGTTATTTAGACAAACACCATGGAAAGACAAATAGAGCATCACTGTAGAGAGAGAAAAACTCCCTCGTTTACTGGAAGAAACCTCTGAACCAGAGTCAATGTGGGCGGCCATCTGCCTTGACCAGTTGGGGTGAGCAGGGAAAAATTGGGAGGAGAGGAGTGATGGGTGGAAAAGAGGAGAGGGAGTTATAGTGATAGTGGGGAAGAGAGGGGGAAAGAAAGAGACCAGGAATCTTGTGCACCATCAGGTATCACCTCTGACTAGTTATAATAAAAACGTTAACAGTGCAAAGAAGTTATTGATTATTAATCACAGCAGCAACAATGAATATAATAATTAATAAATAATAAGTATTATTGTTAATAATAATAATAACAATACAACGAGAAGTGCTCAGTGGATGATGGGAGTTCCCCCGGTAGTCTTGACCTATTGCAGCAGAACTAAGGGCTGGTTCAAGAGTCACCTGATCCAGAACTAACTATAGGCTTTATTGAAAAGGAACATTTTAAGTTTAACCTTAAATGTAGAGATGGTGTCTGCCTCCCGAACCCAGAGTGGGAGCCCACCTGTTCTACTCTTACAGATTCTAGAACCAGAAGAGAGCCTGTGTTTTGAGAACAAAATGATCTATACTAGAGACTTGAGGGAGCATATATAAGGTGAAGAATATCGGTCCAAAGACAGAACCTTGTGGAACTCCATGACCAACTTGTGTGTGCATGAAGGAATCATTGTGAACATTAACAAATGTGAAAATGAAATCTATCTGATATATATGATTTTAACCAGTCGAGTGCCGTTCCTTAATTCCCTACATGACAAACGCTGCACAAAGATCCAAGAGGACGAGTACAGAGACAACCCCATCATCTGATGCCATGAAAAGCGCATTAGTAAGTTTTTAGAGTTGAATCTAAAGTTCATCTACATGAATGTTGAGATCACCTACTACAATGATTATATCTGTTCTAAGAAGAGTAAGGGGCAGGTAACTAGACAACTACATGAACTGGTTTATGTGATTTCAGGCTTGGAGGGATGAGACTGATTATAAGATTTTCAAACAAGTAATAACTATTTTTCGGTCAAGGGTCGATACATAGGTCGGATTCAAAGAGTGCTGCAACTCCTGCACCTCTGCCTGTGCTTCGAGGAATATGAGTATTAATATGGGTAGGGGGCCATCGCTTCATTTAAACCTACATATTCACCTGGTTTCAGTCAATTAAACACTTTGAAAATACAAATGAGGTAAAGACTGTACAAACAAAACGTAAAACCTAAAGGTACAGGTTGTAGAATTTAGTTATCTAGTGTTGAAATTACATGTTGCAGCTGAACACCCCTCACCTCACCCTCTCCTTCCAAAAGTGAAAAAGAACCTGTGGTAGACTTTAATTGTCATAAAAACTCAAAAGGTGTTTGGTTTGTTCAGTCTGGACTAATGTAAAAAACATGATGGCCGCCATAGAGAGGGTCCCCTCTATGTAAATATAAAGTATTTAAATATAAAGGGGCTTTTCTGGGGTAAAGAAAACTACAATTCATACAATTTAGATGAAATGAACAAGTGAAAACATCATGAGGATTATTCTACATTCAATTTCTGCCAATAGATCCTTTCACATAAATCTTACACACTGGACGTTTAATGCTGTGAATGGGACTCTGTATCTGTATCTGTATCTGTATCACTAACATATATCAAGTTCAACCACATTCCATTGTAGTTACTGGGTGATATTACACTTCCTGCTCCACTTGTGTGAGGATCAAAATAAGAGAAACCTCCCGAGGACCCAAAATTATATAATGTGCATTGACTATAGTGGTAAATGAAATTATGACATAATAGTAAGATATTAACACACACACAAACACACGCACACACACACACAATCCTTCTCTCCATGTTAAATCACATAAGAACCAACAGAATCCATCACCACTCCCTGCAAGGACACACGCGTGAAGCCGAGTCTTACCGATGATGGGTCGGCTGTTGAGCGGCTGGTTCATCGCTCCACACCAGAGAGAACAAGCCAGAGTTGTGGGCAGAGCTACAGCTGGCAGCACGAGCAAAGCTGGAGCTGGGAAGTGCCGCATGTCATGACATGATGTTAATAACTGTTTCATCACTAGAGGAGGGACCTTCACTATTTGTTCTTTGACAGTAAATCGGGGGAGTACAGACTGGGTAGGAAAAGGTTTTTCTTTTTTGCTTTTTTCATGACTTAGCACCACCTGCTCCACCAGTTTTTTGTTTGTAAGGATGATCAACGCTGATTGCTGTCAAGGACTTATTTTGGGGGGCAAGTGGTAAGGCGTTGGTCTTGTAAAACAATAATCGTGGGTTCAATCCCCATTCATGCCTTTAATTGAGCGTTAATGTGGTTTCCTTTCAACTCTGTAGTCACCTGGTATCCACACGTTCATTTTGTGATCTGATCTCAAGTGGACAGCTCCAAGTACAGGAGTGAACACTCTCTTTTAAGAGTGGTATCTATGCATCAAGTTTATATTTTTTTAAATATCCATCAATAAAGCAGTACAAAACACTTCATGGATTCAAACCAAAATTTATTGAGTTCTTCCCTGATCCCTTCCACATCCCTCCACCAAGTTTCATTGTAATCCTTTCAGTAGTTTTTGCTTAATCCTGCTAACTAACAAACAAGCGTAGATGAAAATAAAATCTGTTAGCAGAGGTCATATTGTGAGATAATGTAACAGCATTAACATGATATGTGTGGCAGTTTATTGATGATCTTAATATACAGCAAATCATCTCAAGTTGGTCATTGTTGATGTTTCGTTTGAGGTTTTGCTATCAGTGACTTCATCAGGTTGAAGATGTTCCTCACGTCCATCAATCAAAGAAATAGCGCTGAACGAAGATGTTGCTCGAGCCCATGAAGTGGGGACAGAAGTTGTAGATGAGCGCTCTCTCTTCCTCCTCCAGACTCGGGAAACGGTGGTTGCTCTTCCTGGCTGTAAGGGGAAAAGGAAAGGAAGTGAACAAAAGACAGAAAAGGTAGAATATAGTGATTTATTTGATTGATAACCGATTAAGTCTGAGACTAAATTTGAAAATGTGTGGCTGAAGAAGAAATTATTCCAGTGATGCCATAGAGATCTGGATATATTGTGGATCCCACACGTTACCTTCAGAGACAAAGAAGCTGGCAGAGTAGAAGGCGACTCTTATTGCAGAGCTGGAGTGAATCATCCCTGGCTTTTCGATCCACTCAAAGGGGGTTTTCTCAGGATGCCACTGAAGTGCATAAAATGGGTACCGGTAGGCTGGAAACGACCAGAGACACTGTCAGCAGACAGACTTGCTCACACACTGAAACATTACAGTCAGTATTTGTAGAGAATAATGAAAATGTGATCGCTGCCCTCGTCAGTTAATCTGTTTCATCATTTCTACATCATCACTAAACATCATAATCAAAATGTTGAAATTATTGTGTTATTGTTGATTCATTGTTCAGCAAACACTCATCACACAAGTTGAGGGTCCCCCAAGGAAAGGTACCTTCCATAGTGGAGATGAATTCTGTGTTCCCATCGTGGTTAGTGGACAGGACCTTGTAAAACTTCTTCAGCCTGGCATTTTCGCTGTAGTTCTGAAATTCACAGATTTAATATTGATATCRTTTTCGTGGCACTTTGCTCCTTTTGCATGAATGAATAGAGGTACGTTTAAACACTCTGAATTTGTTTTTAGCAGGAACATACAGTGTCGTATGGGTGGTGGGCGTCAATGATTAGAACTCAAGGTTAAWAGACGATTGAACCTGATAACTGATTAGTGGTGACCAAAATTATGTTTATTCATTGTGGAGATGCTACTTTGATTCCATGTCAAACATCAAACAGTGGCATGGTGGCCAAGTGGAAAGGTATTGGTCTGGTACATCAAAGATCACGGGTTTCATCCTTTAAAAAGTCTTTGTTGTGTAAACTGCCATGCACAAATACATCCACACTTCTCTCAGGAATTGATCTTGTGATAGATAGATAGATAGATATATCGATCGATAGATAGATAGATAGATTGAGTCTTTGTTGTGTAAACTGCCATGCACAAATACATCCACACTTCTCTCAGGAATTGATCTTGTGAAATTCTCATGATGCATTAACCTTTTGTAGGTTACTAGAGGAATACTTTACCCCGATACCACAACTACAAAACGTTGAGATTAACCCTGTCAGGCTCTATGTAAAAGGATAAAGAGACAAAAGTGGAAAACAGATTAAGGAGCAGTAGGAAATACCTTGGTGGAAAGACTCCACTGGTGGAAGTGGGGAGAGATGCTTTCCTCGGCCAGAGACCTCAGCACATCTTTGGGGAAACTCTTAAACAGACGGCTGGAATAGGCCTCTGCAGGACGGACACAGATTTGTGGTGAGGCAGGAGGAGCTGTTACATATTTGACTTTAACATGATTGAAGCTGGACATTATGACTGGAGTCAGTGAGTGACAGCCCAGGTTCCTTAAACTTTATATCATCACTCGTAGAGTTTAATGCCACAACTGTAGCTGCGGAAAACTTAGTAGAACTTAAAATTAAACTTTCATATTGATTACACCACTAAGTGTGATGGTGTGTCTCATTTGCATTTGATCCGCCCACAACATACAACACTCAACACCGTGAGTGAGGAGACTGTGGATTAAACACAATGCACACTTTGAATGTACAGCTCAAGTAGGACAATTTGTTCTTATGTATAATTGTATAGTGCTGCTCCTAGAAAAAAAATCCCACCTCAGCTGTCTAAATAAAAACCTGCTGTACTAACTTTGCAAGAACTCAATGTATATTATAGTAGAGAGTGAAATATACTCCAGGATAAAAACATGTCTTAACCCAGTGAAATGATCATGTGGTAAAGTGTTGTTCAGGTAAAATAAATGGTGTCTTTAAAATGTGTCACAAATTATCAGGAAGAAAAAAGATGTTGTTTTTTTAAAACGTATTTAAATAACGGGGGAACTGTCCATATTATCCAAATGTACATGGATACTGTAAACACATCAGCAAGAAGGAAAGGTGCTGATCCTCTTAAGATCATGGGTTCATTTCTCATCTATGGCTTTAAATTGTGTTTAGCTCACATTAGAACCGTCCATATCATCCCTCAAAATATAACTTAGTCTGCCACAAACGGACGACTGCAATATCTTTCATGTCACTGTGGTACACATTAAAGGATAATCATAAGTTGATGAAGTTCAAATCCTACTTGAGGTACAGGTGGACAAGTGAAAAGTCCTATAAATCAAATCTAAACCAAAAGGCAAGAAAATGTTCATGATGTGAGGAGGCTAACAGAGCAGAGGACAGTGGACATTACGTCGTGTGAGGTTGAGAGGCAGAGCCACAGCCTGGGTGTCAGTGAGTGTGAGCAGGTCTTCCCCCGCTGYCAAGACACTCATCAGCTGAAAGCCCCTGCAAGATCCCCAGATGGGGAAATAGTCGGAGGCATCGTTGGCCTGCAGAGGGAGGAGAGAGAAGGTGAAGGAAGCAGATTCGTGGACGATATAAACACCTACGAATACCGAACAAAAGGACAACTGACAACAAACAAGAACATGAGATAAAGCTGTAGATAATGTTAATCTAATCGGTGTSAGATGTCACTTCATCTTGAGTCAACTCAGTTATACGAGTGTTTTACCCTCAGAGCCAAGTTGTAAAAAATCCTGGCGGTTCGACTGTGCAGCGACGTCTCCAGATGCAAAATTCCTCCTGGCAGCACCAACCTGCAGGGAGACCGTGCTCCATGTTAAACACTGAGATGAAGCCTGAATCCTCTGAAACACTTCACATGTGTACACATATGATTCAAGAAGATTTCACATCAGACATAACAATTAGGAGCATCTACACTCTTGACATACGCAGAGTAAACARTGTTTAACTCACCCGTTTATTGAGTTGAATATCTTGGTATATTCTTCTTCTGTGAGATTTACTCTGATGGATAGAAAAACAAATCAAGGCCAAAAAACCAATTAACCATCAATCAAAGACGATTTGAATCATAATGAATGAATCTGGATTCAAAGCAGCAGCTGTGAGAACGTTTCTGATTTCAACCTGTAGAGGAAACTCAGGGATCATCACTGTTTGCTGTTGTAATACAAACTCAACATTATTCCAACTGCAGGGAAATACATTTTTACAGCATATATATTCTCCGTCCACATCACACAGCACCACCGTGACTGACAGGTCTGTGAGCCAGAGGCAAATCAGAATCCGACTTGTCAACAAGGTCGGATGTTTAACTCTTTAAATATTTGTCAAGAGGAATTTCTAGATAAACATGTCAGGGAGTGAGGTTATGTAAAATGTACATTAGTTGTAAGAACYAACACTTGTAACTTGCAGTAGTACTTAAATAAAACCCTGTGCTTGTAATAAAAAACACAATATGAGGATATCTGGCTAACTTCAGGTTTAACATCAGATTTTTCAGTTCTACGAAACCATTTAACTTATTTCTGAAGTAAACCCCCATTGATGCTAATGCTGAATCAATAACCAGCTCAAAATACTTCACTCCTCTTCTTTGGCAGAAGAAACAGTCAGACATCACTGTAACCTTTTTTTTTTATTTGTATCACATGTTCATAATTTGTTCATAGTTGTTCTACCTGACAGGTACGACTCTGGCCCCGGCTAACTCCAGGAACTTCACATAGGAAGCAGCGATGTAAGATGAGCCCAGAGTTTCAT